GAGTGATATACACGAAGAAACTCGTTAGAGATAATTGGCATTGACTGGTCAATAATTATTTCGATTCGAAAATTTTAAGATAGAGAGGAATACATTTCGATTTATCACGTTTTAGATATACTTCATCGAATGTGCATTCGATTTTTCGTCGCTTTATAATACCGTGTTATATAAGCCAAATATTCATATTTCTATGATCCATAATCTATTAGTCGCAAATTGCGAAATAGGAAAAGAAAGGTTATCACATTTGCACGATTAGCGACGAGAGAATCGTGCGTGGGCCATTTAAAATCGTATCCTACACGATTACAATTCACAAATTATTATTTTAAATAAAATTCAAAGAAACAAAAATTTTGATGGAATATTAAGTTGCATGATTTTAATTTGCGTTAATTGCCGCCGAAGAAAAAATTCGACAAGCTTGAATGGGCCCCTCCAAATTTATTAAGATTTATTCGCCGAATAAATTTAAATTATAATTAACAGCGACGAAGTTTAAATACTATCCGATCACCGTGTTATAAACCCACCTCGTTAACCCCTCGAGCACGGATCTTCTCCATTATCTCGTCATTAATCGGGGGAGAAAACGTATCAACTCCCACGAATCCTCGAGTGGGCGTTGGCAAGCATATTATCGTTGCACCCCCACATAATTTGTCTATATTCGTCGTGTTGATCGGAAAATTAACACCCCGTTTAACAAAATGATGTAGTCCAACGAAGAAGAGAAGAGAGAGATCGAATTTTTTTCTTATATACAAGATATATTCTTGCTTTTTTAACTTTCAACCCTCGTTGAAAAAAATTTTGCAAATCTCCTCGTTATTAAGAATGTAATTAATTAAGTAATAAACGATCGAATTTATTTTATTTCATTCCGGCTCTTATTATGCGCGAAGAATAATTCGTTACTTCATTACATCTATTATGTCATTTTAATTTTAATCGCTTTTAATTGATAAATAAATGAATATATCTCATCGATATTCAGATTCTAAAATTTAGAGTCATTCCTGTCATACATGTAACGCGACATTAAACCGCTTAAAGAGTTAAGGAAAAACGTTTAATCAAGAAAATTGCGTTTATAGTAAAAAAATAATTGTATATAAAAATGCTTCCTCGAGTTTATATATATTACGTAAAGCGAACACGTAACGGAGAAAAAAAGTGTGCGAATCGAGACTCGTTGAGTTTATGAATTCTATTCACGCGCAAAAAAAAATGTAATTATTCGTCTCATGCGAATGGGAGGAAAAATAAAAAGTAATAATCATGGCGAGAGGTCGGTATTCCCTTTACGATAATTTGTCGAAATGGTGACATCTCGATTTTTCTGTTTAGGTAAATGGTAATGATTCTTGTCTCTTGTCGTTCATCGTTTAACGGTGTTACCGCAAAAACGAACGAAACGAACATGCGCATTCCATGTTAGAACGGCGCACTTATGTTGCAAACGATCGAACCTTTTTTTGCTTCTCTCATGGCAACGATAGATGTTGGAATAAATTTTTATTCGATCGAAGGGGAAACGTTATAATATTCAATTTTTTTTACTATTCGTTTATTTGTTCGTTATTTGTTCCTTCTTATTTTTGTGCTAATTGTTCACGTAAGAATTATTTGAGAGAGAAACTTCATCTTGTTGTCGTATTGCAACGATGTTAAAATTAAAATTAATTTAAATCGATAAAATTAAATTTTTCATGAAAAATTCCTATGACTTTCCGTTAAAACAGAATTCTCCAAGCTTAAATACTCTGTAATGAAAGGTATGTGAAGCAAGGCCTGCTAAGGCCTTCAAAAGCTTTCATCAAATATTACAGAAACGCCATCTGCTCAATATGCGGCGGTGTTCAATAGACGATGCCTAAAATGGTTCTCGTTATGAAAGGAGTAACACATTCCTTTCATTCATCGCGAATCCATCATTCAGCCTTTTCATATCGCCAAAATGAATCCTGTTTCTATGCCTATAATGGCACGAAACGATGAACCATCTTGTTCGAAATTAACACCTATCAATTGAAAACCTTGATAATACGAGATGAGTATAGATTCCTCGAGTAACACGTAATATTTGTAGATGCACGATTTGGAATCGAAAACAGATTGGGTTTTCGATAATCCTCTCTAATCCGTGTATCTAAACAACAAATTAGTAACCAGATGTTACGAGTAATATTACGGTTAATCCGATAAGTAGGAATTATGAACAAAAGATAGAAATTTTAAGATCCTAATTACGGAATTATTAGTCGCATCAGTTTCACTTCACAACAATCCACATAATTGATACATGATTGATTGTAACGTATGTTTGAAAATGTTTGAAATCTTCCACGCGATAAGAAGATCTGGTTTTTGGGCCGAAGAAAGAAAATTCTTCAGAATTTTTATCCATTGCACAAAACAGTTTAATCGAAATTAACACAAGAGCATATATTATTGACTCAAAATAATTTATATTTACGATATTATTGAATCCCATGAAGATTGGTTTCGTAGATCGATTTATCATGCTACTTCTTCCTTGTAACGCGTTCTAATTATTAATTATAACATTCCTTTTTATATTTATACTTCCTTTTCTATCGATTTTCGAATCGAACCGTCCAATGATTCATCATCCATTCAGAGATAAGAAATAACAATTGGTGTTGAATAAATATAAATGTAAAGATAGATAGTCGTTTCGATGATTGGTTGGCGGAAGATGTTGAACGTGCACGACGATACGATTGGCTCACGTTGGAAAATTGGTGCACGTGCGTGTGGAGATAGATTCAATTGGCGACCGAAATTTCAATTGACCGTGGAAAAGTGAACTAATTGGCATCGAGTTCAAAGCGGCGTTCCAATTGGGAGAAAGGTATATGAGTTGATACACGATGGTATAACTGCCCTCTGTGAATGCAGATCGCGTCTTCGTATTCATTTGGCCCAGTTCGAAACGAACAACGTTGATCCAACGTTATTTCCAAGTCGGATCGCTCGCGGTTTATTCGTTCCCGTTGAAAAATTCAGATTTTTCGAATCTGATGATCTCGAGAGTATATTTAATATCCATCCATATTCTGAGAATTACTTTCTCCTGATGAAGGAAGTAAGGAAATAAGAGAAAGTATATAAGAATAATTGTCGTAAGGAAGAATGAAATCTTGAAGAATTCTTTAAAAATAATTTAAAAATTCGTTCTGCTTGAATTCTTGAAGCGTTTTGTTGTTAGAATTAATCGCAAGAAGAGAGGTTAGATTAAAATTGTTCGTTGAAAAGAATAACATTTTGCAACGTATTTTTGCGAACAGAAAGAAAAAACATCGAAAAACAATTCTATTTTACGAAGGATCGAGGGAGGAGTTTCAATGATGATACGAAAGTTTTTGGCCATTGGAGAGCGCCAAGTTCATCAAATCTTCAACGAACTAACCTATCTATATGTCTTAGAGGATGGTTGATTTGCAATTGAGATCGAGTCGGGTTGAAACGAGGAAAATATGAAATTTAAATGACGACAGCCCAACTTCTCGGAGAAGCACGGCGAGGACGAAGTATATTTTCTTTGTGAATTAATGCAGTCTTAAAGACACGCGAGGGCGCCACATGCTCTTTCAACGTCTCCCGTCCTCAGCTCGTAACATTTGTTTCCTTGTCAAAAAGAATTTGTAAAGGATTTAAAAAGGATTTCTTATTAATGGTATTTGTAATAATCTTGACTTGTGTTACAGTAATCGAATATCTTATTTCGATGAACGTGTATAATAACCGTATATAAGACCATTTATTAATTATTTTATTACTAAGTTTAAACAAAATTTAAAAACCTGATTAATAGCCCTGGATAAAACTCTATCGTAGAAACTTTGAAAGTTCCATACTTTGTAATACTTAAGAAATAATTCCAAGGGATTAATTCAAAGGGATTCGTTTCAATTTTTCAACGATTCTTTCAAGTAGTGGACATCAAAATTGAAAAAATTCTTTTACTTTACTTTTTTGATCGAACAGAAAAATACTTAAAGATACTTTTCTTCTTTGTATATATATTGTAATTCTTGCAAATCAATTGCTACGTTTAAAAAAAAAAAGAAGTGACGAAACGATGAATAGTCGTAGCGAGTTCATTTCGTGCAATTCGTCAGGGTGTTGAGGGAACTAAACGAGGACGTGGAGCACGAAATAGCGATTAAATGTCAAATGCAGATCAGATTGTTGTTGTGTTAGTGGACGGAACACTCGAAAAAGTTGTCCGGCTTGTTTTCGAGGAAAATCCAATTCACCTCGTCTCCCTTAACAATTCCATCCCTACAATCGATCCCGATGAAACACGTTTCTTTTGCTTCTTTGTTTTGCAAAACAAAGAACAGGAGAAAGAGAGAGAGAGAGATATCATTGGATGGACAAGTATCGTTTATACAAGTTTGGAGTCATTAACACGTATAATAATAAAATTTAACATTTATGTAAACGAAATCTTCTTAGTATTAAGTTAAAATCTTATTATCTGAAGTCGTTTCATTTATAAGAATATCTTTGTAATAGAGAGTTATACGTTTCAAATGATTAAAAAATAGAAAAAGATATTGGAAATAAGTTGCAGCATAATGTGAATATAATTGTACGCATTAGAATCAAAGCAATTTCTTAATTCTTACAAAAAGTATTAGCACATTTTCTTACAAATCTATTGATTTGAAAGTTATTAGAATTAAAAGTTTGTTAAATTAGTTTAACTACAAAAGTACTGTAATTGTATGATAAAAAAATATATATTCCAAATGAACACAAATTCTCTAAAATTGGTTTAACAAGATACAAATAAAATAATGAGAATTGTAAGTACAAGAACAAAAAGGAAGAACAAAAAAAAGATAGAATTGCGTTGCATGGAGAATAAAATAAAAAAGAAAAATAGAAAAAGAAGAAAGGAAGAGATGGGACGAATTCGTTTCCCTCTCTTTTTCTAACCTCAATTTTTCCTTTATTTTCAGACACACCGCGATCGACGAAGAGTCTCCAGGTTCCATCCCAAAATCGTTGACAATCGCCGCGCCAACTTCGAGGGACGCTTCCCTGGACATTCCTCTGGATAGAGAAAATCTCGTTTTCCCATTGCCTTCCACCGCCTCCACCGACCAACGTCCTTCCATCCGAAAATTCGAATCGAAAGCAATTCTATCGTGCAAGGAATCGTCCATCAAGTTCCAGTATCCATCCACGAAACGTGAATCCCAACAACCCGTGAACATTTTCAACAAATCCTTCCGTTCACCAGAACAGACCAAACTTCCAACGAAGAAATCGCCAGATGGGGGCAAGCAAAAGGACCAGACGAGAGAAAGATTCGCCGATTTGGAAGGGAAAGTGACCATCAAGTTGCCATCTGACGAATTGACCACGTTTGGATCATCCAAAGATCACGAAGATTCCATCACCAGGATTCCATCCAGCCCGGAGGACATTTCTGATCAAGAGATCGTCGAAGTGAGAAAGGACAGTGCCTTGTTTCTGGAGGAGGCCGAAGGATTGCCCACCCTTCGAGAAATTTTGAAATCCAAGGCCCCAAGAGTGGTGAGACCTAGGAGAGAGAGCAGTGGATACGCGAGTAATTTGGGGACGTTCGACGAGGAGAGAAGGAATTCGTCGACCGTGGATGTGTTGCAAGATTTGTCGTTCATCAAGGAGAGGCGCAGATCCTCCACGACTAAACGATTGAGTTCGAGAGTGATATTGGGGAGAGGCGAAGAAAGCTTGACAGAGGACGTCGAGGTTGGAAGCATGCCTACCACAGAGTTGCATAGAAAGGTGTCCGGAGCTGGACTCGAGATGCCTAACATAGAGGAAGTTAAGGAGATTCTCAGAGATGAAGCTCCTTCTAGGGAGGAGAGCCTGGATAATTTGTCTGGATTGACAAAACGTATCAATTCTGGTAAGTTATATATATAAAATTAAAATGAATCTCAATCTCAACGTTTAATGGAGTACAATCTGAATATAATATAGAAATCATAAAGATTAATAAAGTAAGTTCTAATAATAATCAAAATTTACTTTTAACTCGTGATACTTTGAACGTTGAGTTATAAGATATCTCCACTGAGTTTGAAATTTTGCAAAGAATTTCGTGCAATATTTGATACAATTAGATATTTATTATAACAATTAATATTTAAATTAATTAATTGTAAAAAATTATTAGGCATATTCTTCTGCAATATAAATAATGTAAAATTCATTCCAACAGAAGACTTCTCCACGCATTGTCGTCTAAGCGATTTAGCAGATCGAGGCGACTGTTCAAAAGACAGATCAGAAGTACCATCCACTAAATGCCAAGAATCATCGACCATCTTCGATCCTTACGATTCTATAAACCGCTTTTCTCCAACTTCGACGAGTCAAACACCATTTATTCTTTGCACCACGCCAACGATTTTTCACGATTCTCGAAATACCGATACGAAACGCACGGACGGTGTGTCGATCGATCGATCGAAAGATATCAATCCCGAGAGGGTCAGAACTGTCATGTCAAAAATCAACGAAACGCCACTCGACAAAATCTCTGTGATTCAGAGGAAGGAAGAAACGATGAAGCAATCCGTCAGAGAGAATATTGTTCCACGACCGATCAAGATGTACCAGTTGCTTTCCACCCAGTCTGAAGACAGGGTAGAGGGCGAGCTGCAGTTGGACAGAAGGATATTTCAAATTTCGAAACAAGATGACACGAGTGCGGTGATATCTTCGACGAAACATCCTTTGAACAAGTCTTCGAGCGTTTTCACGCTGAAAAGCAGCGCTTCTGGGGACATTCAGACGTTGACGTGTGGCGAAACTGCGGACGATTCGAACGTTAGGAAAGCGATTTCACCTGGAGAGGTGGGAACCAGTCAGAGTTTTCTTGGAGATGCCTCGAGTGTCTCTGTGAGACCTATTTATCCTTATTGCCCTTATTCTCCGTATGGAAGTCCTCAGGGATCACCCAGAAACAGGAGGAGGCCTTTGAGGGAGAGCAGGAGAGTTTCCATCGACAACAAACAGGGGGCTCTTCAACTGAATCAATATAAATTGTTGGACAACATTGGTCAGGTAAGTTTCAATTCTATCAATGTCTGGTATAATGCATATGGTTAACTCTTTTTTCGTGTTGTGTCAATTTATCGTATTAAGGGAAACTTGGAGTCGATATAAAGAAATGTCAACAAGAATGAAGAAAACGTTTATTAAATGAGTCTTGTCTATGTTTATTATAAAATAATTTTATTAATAATAAACATGGTAATTGTAATATTGTTATAATACAATTATATCAGTGATATATGTATATGTTTCATAATAAATTAATTATAAAACATCTGTCTTTTAGACAGATTTTATCTCGTGAACAATTTACGTATCACTCGTGACCTATATAATTCGCGAAAGCAACGAATTAATGCAACCATAAATGAAATTCCCCGCTGGAAAATAAAGAGTAATTTTTTTTCTTGCATAAAAAATATTCTATTAAATTATTTTCACCGAAACTACTCGTCACACGCGAGAAATTTTAAGGCCAATTTCGAAATGTAACGATTCGTTCTAATCGCGTTTAATTGATCAGTTGCATTGGAAATTATGCCGTAGAAAATCTCGCATTAACGTATCGTTAAAATTGATTAAACTGATCCTCGATCCTGATTTTGTGAAGTTATTTTTTAGAAAGATTCATTATTTTCGAACTCATTTGCATCTATTGCATATTTATATCTTTATATATATATATATATGTATATATTATTTTTTTTTTTACATTGCACATTTTATATTTCACTTTATATTTGAAACAATGAAAAATAACACTTTCAATAATCTACGGAATGATATTTTCATTTATCATTGTTAACCGCAATCAGACTTATTTCTCTCCTTCTTTTTCTTCCTTTTTCTTTTTTTTTTTCAGTTTTCTACTTTTCCTTTGCTTCAACATTGTCGAATAAATTGCTCCAATTTCGTAAATTACCCATTCACCTAGAAACCTTCTCCACCTAGAAGGAAATTCTTTCTCTGGGCTAAGAAATAGCCGATGAAAGGAATTTTATTCGAGAACACGAATTTTTATCTGAAAATTTGTTACAGTTTGTTAATAGGAATTCTCGAAATTATTCGATTATATTCTGTATTTGTATTTTGACACGTGAAATAATCAATGTTGTATTAACAAATTTATCCTTTAGACAGAAATTCTCTGGCTTCCATATTTTTTATGAGAAAATAAAAAAAACGTTAACATTTATCAAAATATGGAAACATTTCACTTCTATCGAGAAAATAAATTTTAGAAGATTTTTAAAATATTTATACCGGTCTTGATAAATTTATCACGCTCGACACTTTTAAATTTTACTTTTCGCTCCATATTTTTTCCTACAAGCTCGTTCAAATTTTCTTTTGAAAGAAAATTAAATTTTAATAATTTTATTCAAAAAAGTATGATTCAATTTAAACATAATATATTTAATTTTCTTTCAGCAGTAATATAGAATCTCAAATATAATTTCACTTCTTCTAAACGGCGAAAAAATTTTAACATCTATTAAAATATGAAAACATTTCAACAAATGTGAAAAAAATTTTATATTTTGTCGTTTCAAAAACGTATTTTTCATGTTTCTCGTTCCTGAAATATTTTTCTTTGTATCCATCCGTTTCTGTGTTAGTGAACGAGATGTAATCTTCGTTTTTGTTGATTGAGCGCAACAATTCCACGAAAATTAGCCAAAAATAACAAGACTCGGAAACTTTGAAAATTTCCTTCTTCACTTTTTTATTTCACGATAAAGCAAAATTCTAGAAATCACTTGAATTTCGAGGAAAAATATAAAAGCGAAGAAATATCGTTTGCCACTTTTAAATTGAACATCGGCATCGATTCGAACTTTTTCTCGGTCACTGTTTGATCTTTTCCAAATATATAGGTCGAGATTAAGTTTCCATCAAATCTCAAGGAGTCAAAAACTAAGTTTTTCTATTTGAAATTTATTGTATTTTAACAGGAAAGATGTTATTTCTGAATTTTCCAATATAACTTTATGTATGTTCTATTATTCACAATATTGATGATTGTGTAATAGTAGCATTTGCAAGAAATAGTTGTTATAATAACAATAACAATGATAATAATAATAATATTGGCTGTAATAGTAGAAATAACAAAGTTTATGATTGATTTCAATCTATTGTTTCCAAATCAGTCAATGATTAATAAATGGTAACAAATTCATTTGGTGAAATTTAAAAGAGTTTTGAATTATATATATATATATTTCTATTTGAAAGCATGTAATTTTTAATAATTTAGAGAAATGTTAATTCTAACATTGCTAAAGATATTAATATATTTAAGTAATATTTAAATTACTTCTCAAAATAGTATGATAATTTTCTAAATCTTGAAAGACAATGATATAATTTTAGATTAGTGGAGCAGAAAATGAAGAATTCTTAAAAATATTATTTTTCGTATATATTTCTTTCATTTTCATTCGTTGAAAAAGATTTTTAATCGAAGATTGACACTGAAATTTAACCATTGATTAATTCACTTAATCATTGAAAAATCATAAGTGTTACATAATTTCAAGTAATGTCAATTACGAATACTTATAATAATTAAAATATCGAAGATGCAACGATCAAGAAAATTTTGGAAAAACAACAATTATCATTACTATGAATGAATTTTTCAGGAAATTTAATATTAGATTAAAAAAATATATAGAATTAAGAAATGTATGAGATTTTTATATGTGGATTTTCTCGAAATAAACGAAACGAAAATAAAATAATACGAAAGAAAAAGAGAGAACTAACGGCAAAAAGAAAAAAAAACTCCAGGGAACATCGAAATATCGGGAATTTTAACTTTAATGAACTAGCATTGTTTCACACAAACAATGTTCCTTTTCTCTTTAAAACATCACGTTTTAAAATAGCATTTTTTCCTCTTTGAAAAACGTGGATGAACAAATATGTTTTAATAACTATCCCGTCGATCAACCGACGCAATTTCTTCAATTTTCCCTTTGGAGAAAAGCAAAGTTTCGAAACGAAGCTTGGAAAATTATAAAATAATAAAACTAAAAATCGAAGTAAAGAAAGATGGGTTGAAAATTAAAATTCTCGTCCTTTTTTAAATTAGAACACACTCGAAAGATTGTATCTTTCTCGTTCTCAACAGGGTTCCTACGGGATTGTAAAACTAGTTTATAACGAAGAAGACGAGACCCAATACGCGATGAAGATTCTGAGCAAGAAGAAACTGATGAAGAAGGCGGGGATATTCGGTCGGATGGCTCCGGGGAGAAAGGGTGCGGCCAACCCTTTGGCCAAAGTCTACAGGGAGATCGCGTTGTTGAAGAAACTGGATCATCCGAACGTGGTGAAATTGGTCGAAGTTCTCGACGACCCGGACGAGGATAATCTTTACCTTGTTTTCGAATTGGTCCAGAGGGGAGAGATCCTTCAGGTGCCCACCGACAAACCCCTCGACGAGGAAACTGCCAGGAAGAATTTTCGTGACGTTGTAATGGGCGTGGAATATCGTGAGTATTCAAATTGTCGAGATATAAACTGTGATACACCTGTTCTTCTAAAATGTTATTTTAACAACTATTTGATAAATAATAACTTATAACAATATTATAATATTTTATTCCATAACTTTATACAATCGTTACCTATTTGTTGGATTAAACACATTATTTATATCCTAATTACAATAATTTTATTACATGCTCGTCGTTAAGTTAAAAGTGATTTGATCTACTCCAAGAAAATATCCTACTTAAATTTCATACTCGTTGCAAATAAATTTCAAATTGTTTCAGTGCACTACCAGAGGATAGTGCATCGCGACATAAAACCGAGCAACCTGTTGGTGGACAGCGACGGTCGGATTAAGATCGCCGATTTAGGGGTTAGCGCAGAGCTCAGGGCGTCCGGAGAATTGTTGTCGGGGCCGGCCGGAACACCGGCGTTTGCTGCACCCGAAACAACCACGCCTGGCGCCCATTATTCCGGAACGGTAAGTATCCTATCGTTTGGGGCTATCGTTTGATCGATTTTCAATTTTGCCCGGTATTTATAGGTGGCGAAGAATTATTACGCCGCCACTGTTGTTCAATCCACGCTTCGCCACTCTCGAGCTTCGCCAATTTTCGATCGGTTACCGTCCGATGATAAGAGTAGCTCGAGAGTCGAAGAACAGTTTAGATAACGTGACAGATCTTTATTTCTCGTTTCTCACGAGGAGAGCCGATTGTGAAATTTAAGCGGCATTGCGTAGGTTTGTTTTGATGAAATGAAATGAAATGGAATTCTTCTATGGTATATTTATATCTTTATGGAAAATAAATGTAGAATATTAAATATAGAAAATAAAATACCAATAAAATGTTAATGCTATGTATAACATTATATGCAAATACTTTTTATAGTCGTTAAAAATATAATTTCTGTTTGGTTTTGATATTAAAAAATATATTCTGTTTCTAAAAATAATTATTATTTGGAAATTTCATGAGAAAGTGATTATTGATCTGTTGTTACATGCTTCTTGGAATAGAATTTTTTCCTTAAAACTATAAATAATATATGGATGCATGCATCAATTTAAATTATATTATGATCGTGATTTGTTTCGAATGCTTCAAAATTGAATGATTATTAACAACTAATATTGTTAATAATCATAATATAATTATATCGTATCAATTATGGATGTGTTCTTCTGCAAAAATTCTTATTTTTATTGAAGGCCAATTTAGAAGATCTTTCCAGAATTAAAAAAAGGAAAAAAAACTAACTTTAACCCAATTATCCAAGTGGAAAATATTCTTTGTATCGCAAGTTTCCTTGCATATTTCACAAGCCATTAAGAAATCGATGTCGAGCAACGCAATCCGTTTCACAAGTTTTCTGATCGTGTTTCTATGTACATAATTATATTACACGTATCCTGAAACTTTTTGATAAGAAAGTTAAGTCGTACCACCATTTCACTATTTTATTTAAATCGACCATGACACGCTTGAAGGTAAATAATTTGTGAAATCAAATTTAAGTTTCTTCTCTTTGCTGAATCTACGTTGTTCTTGAATTATTACATCCGATTAAAGAAATTTTATTGAATCTAATAAAATTATCGAGAGTGGGTAAATATGATTTAGATCGATTATCTGACAAAGTTGAGAATTTGTATGATCAGTTAGAGAGAAAAATTGTTACTTAATCTTTTGTTCCATATATCTTAAAGGTATAAGTTGAAACGCGACAAGAAATGTTGTTTTATTGAATATATATTTTATAAGAAAAAAATTATTAAGTGATTTATCAATTTATTTTTCATCTTAATCGATCATTGAATTGATTCAATTAAATAATCCTCAAATATAAGTTATTGTATATAAGTTTTAAAACATTCTATCTGAAGATAAATATTAATATTGTTAGAAATAACATAAATATAAAAAAAAGATTAATGTCTTCTTCGTTTAAAAATTTAAAAATCTATCGTTTTATCATTATAAAATATCTTAAATTAAATCAGATACAGAAGTGTTATAAAAATTTTAAATTAAAATAGCATATTCATGTGTTTTCATTACAATATAAATAATATTTTAAAATTCGAAACAGCAAGTGGACACAAGGAAAATATTATATTTATATTATAATTAATATTAACAACGTGAAACCGCAATCAACTAACTTTTCAAGCTCGTCCTTGTGGAAGAGCATTTCAATTAAAAAAAAAAGAAAGCAAGTAAATTACTGGTTATCAAAGTGTCAAGTTAATAATTCCATTAGGATTTAATTAAAATTTCATCTACTCTCCCAGGTTAAATCCGCGGATCAAAATGATCCAAGAATTAATTAATAATCAATAATCAAGCTCATTTATAGAAGAGTGAACGTGCTTCGACTGATTATTATTGAATAATCTTCCAGCGAAAACAAAACATAATGGTAATAAAAGTATTGTATCTGCTCTCAGGTTAAACGGTATAGTTAATGATTAATGTTTACAACGCGTTATTATGGTTTCTGGTCGTGTAGATCGTTGTTGAAGAAACATATAATTCAACGTAGAATAATTTCTCTCTCACACGTATTCCCATGATTATAGTCCGGTGGTGACCTTATCGACTTAACTCGATCGATTTGGTGAACTTTTTAACAATTGGTTGAAAACAGGTCTATACCCATGAAAACGACACATTAATTTCAATTTGCATCGAGAACTGTAATTAACAATCAGTGATACAGTTGACATCTGAACCATTGATTGAAATAATTCAGATTTTTGCTTGCAATTATTATCACGAAAGATTTTTTTAAAAATATCATCGTATACGTTTATTTTTATCAATTTTAATTTAATTCGTTCGTTAGATTTATTTCAATGACAAATTTCTGGATATCGACTTTCGGTATATTCAGCGTTTTACAGTATTTCTAGAATCGATCAAAAAGTGTCCCACATTTTTATAAATATCTTGTATACACAATAGTATCTTTTGCACTTTTTACACAATGTCATTTAAATCGTGTCATTTTCGAAGTGGATGACGTAAATAGATAATACGTGACGTTTGAATATTTATTTTCATCTTGGGATATCTCCATTAATCTTCTATAATCTCTTAAAAGCATATTCTTCTATCCAATATACTTTAAGAATATTAACTTGTGCACAAAGTAATATCAAATACAAAATTATACTATTTTTGTCAATATATATATTAGACCTTTGTCAGATGATTATTACATTATTATAATATTATAATTTGTAATAGATATAAGGATAATAATAGTTATTTTGGTTTTCCAAAGCCTTTCTTTTTCTCTTTTCAAAAGCTTAATATTTATCTGAAAATAAGAGTATCAATACATCTTAAGTTAATATTTTCCAATTATTAAAGCATTAACGACGTTTTAAATATTAAAGAAATTAAAGAAATAATAAAATTACATTTCAGTTGTGTGACGTATGGTCAATGGGAGTGACATTGTATTGTTTGGTGACCGGAAGAATACCTTGGGATGGAGCCGGAAGTATAATTGGCGTTCAAGCGGCAATACGCAGTGAACCGTTAAAATTTCCAGAGAAACCAGCCCTTTCGCAAAGTCTCCGCGAATTGATCTCAAAAATGCTAGCCAAAGATCCGGCCGAAAGGATCACGCTGTCAGAGATGAAGGAACACGTTTGGCTGACCAATTGTGGCGCTGAACCACTGCCAATCGAAGCTGACAACTGTCGACTTCCGGTTACCGTTACGGATGAAGAAGTGGAACGAGTGGTTACGAGAATACCCAAACTTGACACTTTGATTCTTATCAAAACTATGCTGAAGCAGCACAGTTTTCAAGTAAGTGGAATTTAAAATTTTCAAACACGTTAAAATAAAATTCTTTTATTATCACGAGATTAAAAATAATTTTAAATTTAATGATAAACTAATTGATATTAATTTTTAATTATAATTGAATATACGAAAAATTTGTATATTAAAAAATGTTACTTAAATTCTAAATTTCATTAGATAATTTTCAATTTAATTTTTTTCTTTTTTTTAGATGAATAGCGTTATTTCTTATATTTTGTATAAATTTGAGTTGTAATTATCGGTATTCGATAAATCATGGATTAGTTTTAATCGTTAATCAACTTCTCTAATCTTTAATTAATAAATTCCACAACACATTTGAAGTGTTATATCTCCAACCATTCAATTATGATGTATCTTTTTTCTTTTTTTAATCAAATTATCAGTGAGTCAAGTAGTAGAAACTAATGATAGTTAATTTTTGTAGAAAAAATCAAAAAGAAGAAAATCATTAATTTTAATTGGCAAACTTGTTTATGTAACTCGTGAAACCTTCTTCTATTTCTCTGGCTTTGCCCGACGTTCTTAAGGGGACTTTTATAGCTTTGGAAATTTTCTTACTCTCTCCCTCTCCTTCCTGATCCCATTTATTCGCAATTTGTAGAATATTAAGACGACACGATAGCTATTGCCAGACAGTCTCGTGTAATTGCATTGAAGAGAAATGGAGTCTTTGCGTCCGTGTAAAATTGTTCATCTTTTACCTTGAGCCGATCTACATCACGAAGCGATAAAAGCGGAAGTAACGTAGACATCAGCGATAAAGCTTAACCATTTGTAAAAATTCCCTCGTTGTGATTCTTCAAGTGTCTCGTCTATCAACTGCATAAATTCTTCGTGGTTGAGAATAAAGAGAAAATAAAAGAGGAAGAGAAATATCACGAACTCTTTTATATAAAGTGTTCGATGCAAGAATAGTGTAACGAATCAGTTTTCTAAATTTAAAGTTATTGAACGAAACGAAACGAAGCTGAATAACTTTTCTCCAACTTGAACGATTATAACAATTTATATTCAAATCTCCAAATATCCTTGTAACTTTTTCTAATTTTTTATTCCATCCTCGACGAATAGAAAACTATGAAGGAGATAAAAATCAGAATAGAATATTGTATTGAATTGATGACTCTGATCGATCAGAAACGTCAGCTACGTCCAAAGCGTAAATAATTCGATGAATCTAAAAATAAATTTTTCCACTCGTCGTATAAATTTAATAAAAAAAGAATTGGGAAAACAAATTGGCAATTTTGAACGATTAGAATTTCGCCACTCACGTTTTCATTTCATTATACACGCGACTTCGTATTCATCGTCATCAAGGAGATCAAATTTTCAAAGTTTCTCGCAATCGAAAGTTCGATCGATCGCACGGATCATTGATTAACAGTAATTGAATCAACTTGGCTGAGTTTCTTCTTCTTTAGAGATTTCTGATCGGGCGCATAATAAAGCTGTTGGCAACAGTTCGGTCGCAGTTACGATGGAAGAGGTCGGCCATTGAATTTCAATTGCGGCCGACATTTGATCTCTCGTCACGAGCAGCGAACAGCAGGAGGTCAAGTCTTTTCTGTTTTTCTGTTCACGACGCGGCTGTGGCGTGGAAAAGCTGCCTCCTACTCTCGCCACAATGCCACGTCTCTGCCCTTATTATTTGATGAGCAGCCCGAGTCAATATCAACCGGGTTCAAGGAAGGTTGACGGCTCTGTAAACACGGCAATAATGTCGGTGGAGTATCGGCATCATAAAGCATGAAGCGTTCCTTCCTCGTTTTATATTTCGTTCTCGCATTCTTCTCTCTCTTCCCCCCTTTTTGCTTCTTTCGTCAGTTTTCATCGAGGGAGCACGCGATATCGTGAAAATAAATCGAAAAATCGTGGAAATTTCACGAGAACGATTCCTTTGAAATTCTATTCGTAGCTTTATTTAGTCTCTGGAAGAGTAACGTCAAGAAGACTATCTATATTCTTGTTATTCTTTTTTTTTTTTTCCTTTTCCAATGAAAGTGTGTAATCGAGATATTGTTTTTCGATCTTCAGAATCCGTTCTTGCCGAAGAAGGGTGGAAAACCGGCGAACACGGCGGCGGATAGCATAGAATTATCCCCATCGGAAAGAGCCGAGGAAATCTCACAGGAGAAGAAAATAATTAGGAACGTAAAGACAGAGCAGTTTCAAAGAACAGGTAGAAGCAATTCCGCCCCGGATTCTTATGATTGGCAAACAAATGGCAGGTAAACACAATCTTCGATTTTATATTGATCTCGATTCGAGTAGATCAAAAATATTGAATATTGAAGTACGATCTTGTATAATAATAATGTGAATCGTGTTAAAATATGTTAATGCAATGTTATGTCTGTCAAGATCGCGAGTGCAATTTTTTATGTAAACGTTTCCAATCTATGTATCTTTATGTTCCATGACGGTTCTGTTTTATCGATTAAGCTTGAATGCAATACGTATATTTGCAATTTTCGAAAGAAGATTTTGAGATAATTCGTTTCGATTAATCTATTTCATGATTTAAAAGATAGTTGAAACAATGGTTCTCTTTGAACAGGAAAATTTATTTAATTCAAAACAGTAACTTGTAATATTGATGGTCCATTTGTGTTAGAATATGTAACAAATAAATTGTCGGTTTTATTTCCTTGTCCGTGTCTCGATATACTTTCAGACAAATATCTACAGAAAGTCCTCTACCTCCGGTGACAGAAGCATCCATTCAGGAAACGGAAATAGAGAAACGGTGATATCACGGATCAACATGACGAGGAAAACCACAATCAACCAATTAGTTGATAAAAAAAACGGTATGAGCCGACTATAACATTCAATGACCAAATGAAATTAATTCTATATACTTATTATACATTGTATATTTGAAAATTTATATTTCATTTTTTTTCTATTTTTCTTTGATTTCTAACAACTAAAAATTGATTATAGATATCTGGAAGGAATATTTTCACACATAATATTATTATATGTAAAGGATATACAAAATTTCGGTTTAAAAATTCGAAAATCCACATGATTGCAATAAATCATTAAGTTTTTTTTTGAAATAACTTCGAAATAATCGTTTTTTCGGCGAAAATAGTTATATCCTTTATTTCAAAGTATTGCATCATGTACTATAATGATTTTTTTTTTAGCGTATCGATTATTTTTCATTTATTCTGAATCAATTATTTCATGGTAATTACAATTGCAAATGATTTCAAACAACGTTCGTTTATGAATTCACTTTAAACAGTACTACTTCTTCGATTTTCGAAACTGAAAGTAATATTACAAATAATTAAACAAATTATTGGATGAAGGAATATGTTAAAATTAATTTAAAGAATCGTTATGAAATTGTTAATGCAGATTAAATGAACGAAAATAAGAAAACAAGATCATTTTTAGCTGAGCCGAATTTTTAAATATAGTGTAAGTAATAACTTGTAAGAAATAACTTAATCTATACTCTAAAAATTATTAAATATAATAGAAATTTTCAATTGTCTCGATTTATCTCTTCGGATAATATTTGATTTTGATCCATTGAAATGTTTAAATAAACACAATTTATTTTATCTTAATAAATAATTTCATTATGCGTTTAATTCATTTTTCAAAATGAAAAAGTAAAAATTGAGGGATACAGCGTAAAATATTCAATCGAAATAAAACAAATATTAACTTTTTAAACTTTCAATTTATGAAATAGAAAGTTCGTTGAAACGATTAAATCTGAAGAGATTAATAAGACACTTGGAATACAGATGGCGTTTTACTTACAAATTTTAATTAAGTAGCTGTAGATAGAGGGCGAATGTTGTTGCCAGTTGAGCCAGTTGAAAGAATCAAACATACTTTCTATTCACGCTAGAATGTAAAGGGTTTAGAAGAACAGTTTATTGAAACAACGATATCTCTTTAAGAACATGTTACGAGAATGAAATAATTTTCGGTGAGTATTTTATTTCGATCTTTATATGATTTAATAATAATGCATAGTTTCGTATTTGTACATGATTTTAAATAATTCGTTCAAATTTCTAGTATTATCCATATGAGTGCCTCAAATTTTAATTCCACGTTTTAAATTCTATTATATTAAAAAGAAAATTACAAATTTATTTATATTGGATAAAAATTAAAACATTTCTATTTCAGATATGTATATACGTATAAATGCTCGTTGAATTTTCTAATTTTCTTGTGTATTTTTTTAAAAATTCTATCTGGGATCCAACAAAAATGATCATGCGATTTCAATTTCAAATATTCTTGATATTTATATATACAGGGTAATAATTAGATAGGGTAATACTCCTATTAAAAACAAGATATTCAGATTTATCATAAATTTATTGAGATCTTGGAATATAAATTATCCATTAGAAGATTTAATTTAGCAACGTATATATATATATTCTTCCATTGTAATCAATAGATCGCAAATTCTAACCTCAAATCGCAAGATCTTTTTTGGGTCAAATGAAACCGAAGGTACTCATAAAGTGCGTCTTGTACATATATGTATAAATTTAAGTCTTGCAAATTCGAGTGCAAAGCACGCGACCAAGCGAACGTAACCAAAGTCAGATTCGTGATTTCGTTGGATCTTACTTGATATCCGGGGGACCATAAGTGCGTATTTTAATTTAATCGATAACCATCGAACCTCACGACCGGATACATTCATATCGACAGTCATATCATGTCCCGATGACCTCACAAATTTTCTCGAAATGATGCAACGCATGTTCATGTGACGTTTCAACATTCATTTTCCAATATTATTAACGTTTATTAGAAACTAACGGTAGTTGTAAGCGCAGAATGAATAGACTCCATTAGATTGTGACGATGGCATTTGGTAAAATTGTAGAATATTTTTTTATAAATATAGATAAAAAAAAAAAAAAAAAAAAGAAAACTAAAAATCCGAAGAAGAAACGAGAGTTACTTAAAATTGTAAAAAATACTTGTTTCGATAATGTTGAAATACGGAACGTTTCATAATTACGAGATGAATGATATATTGCGATGATAGTATTTGAACTGTAGATTATGCTGCAATCGCACTGAGATCTCATAGGACGTTTTGGTGCATCGGTAGGCCTTTTACGTCTAATTGTTACGGGTATGTGTGTTATATAATAAGACTAGAATCTTATTACAATATTTCTGATGGTATGTAATATTTCGAGTCAATGAATTTAATCCAATCTTACTATTTGCTTTTTTAAAGCTTACGCATGTTCTTATCTTATCTCACAAGAATTTTTAAAACTTTACCACAATACTTCAAAATAATCTAAAAATTTAGAAAAAAAATATATATATATAAAAAATAATTAAAAAAAAAAAGAAAACATTTTATCAATCTACTTTCTCGAGCTTAAAAAAAAATTCTTATAAGATTCTAATAATTAGCTGTAACGATTTATAAAATTGAAGGATGTTGTAAACTGAATGAGATAATGTTGATCAATTTTCAATGTTGATCTCGGGGAAAAAAATATTACGTATCTACAGAAATATTTTTTCTAACCCTCGTTGACAAAAGCGAAGCGTTTTTCGATTGTTCAAATTTTTAAAACGCTTTTATCCACGATGGTACCCTGTATCATGTATAATAGATATATTTTACAAATTATGAATATTCTTATGAAATGCACAAGATATTTTGTATCTCTTATTAGATGCACACTGTTTCTTAATCTATACTTGTAACAATATAAATCGAAATCAATTCACCCTCAATTGACTTTTATTCGATTTTAAAACAAAAAATAATGAAAGCATTAAATACTTTAATTAGAAATTAATAGAAAAAACGATTACGTATACAAAATATCTTTAAATATCTTATATAAGAAATTATTAACAAATTATTAATCTGTTAACAAGAGAGACGAATCAAAAAATTTTCACTCGAACAATTAGTGGATTTGTCACACAAATTAGCCAATTGAGGGTTCGATCATCAACGTTATATATGATATTCGATGATTGTGAGGCGACGATTTGTCAAAAATCAACAAGCCGCAAGAGGTCGTTGATTAGCGCTGTGGCCAAATTTAAAATGGCGATAATTGCGTATAATTATACGTGGCGTTTTCGACTAATGCATTGATTTTCTCGACAATCAGTCTCATAGACGATTTTGATTCTTTAATAAACGAAGAGAAAAGAAAATGGGTTAATTGGAAAGTGATTACGTTTAGTCGTCTACTGCCATAATTTCGACCAGCGAGGATGAGAGCAAGGAGCGACTTGTACTTCATTCACGCGTCTAGCCGATGGTACTTGATATAAAGTGAGCAATGTTCGTGAATCTTATAATTCCCTTTTTATATTACTCGTAGTCAAATTTTTCTCTTTTTGCTCTTGGCTCGAATCTATCGTTGTTTCCAATTCTGTAATTCTACTCGATCGTTGTAGAATGTCCTTTTATCAATAATAATGATCTTTATACAAGGTATCTTCCGTTTTTCAATAAACATTGATCCAGTGAATGTGAAGATGGATGATTGAATTGTAATTTTCTTTTTTAACGTTATATAAAATTCTGGAATTATAGGTATATATATATATATATATATTTTTATAAATTTCATCACGATTTTATTAAAAATATATTTACAATGTAACATTTTAATTTCTTAGATATTTTAATAAGTTTAATTTTATAATCGATACGATTAGTAATCATTCGACCAATACTGTTTATAGTTATGACGAAAAGTTTTATGAAAAGGAAGATATGGATCGTACCATTCGGACAGAATTCTTTCGGCTATATCAATTGAATCACCTGCAAAAAGAAAAAAAAAAAAGAAAAAAAGAAAAATTCCAAAAGTTAAAAATTTCAAAACACCACGACAAAATTATATCTGAATTTTTTTTTTTTTTTGAATATATTCTGATTATAATATCAAAAAATTCTGATCTAAAAAAAACTTAAGGTCAACTAATCATCATTTATACCTGTTGCTTTTGTCGGATAAATTTTTCTAGAGAACGTAAAAGCTTCCTCGACATTTTCGAATATCTGCTCATTCATTTTCGTCGTATTCACTCTCGTTCCAGTGGTCAAACTGGTTTCAAGTTCGTTCAAGAAAATAGCCCAACGAGGCTTGAAATAATCCGCCACGATTCCCGACCATTGTTTATTTGCATAATCTCGTATCTCCCCCAATGGCCCCCACAAAGTAATCTGATTTCTCGCGTTGTACTCGTACAATATCTCTTCTTCATCGTTGGTAGCCAAATCTTTCGCCATCTTTAACCATTTTCCTAATAGAAAATCCTCACTTGATGCTAAAATCTCCTCGAGATCATCAAATAGCGCCAGCAACAGCTTAGCATTTTGCCTGTATTGTTTGAAAATTAAACAAAGAAATATTAAAATTGCTTCGACGATTCTCTTTCAATTTATCAAAGATGATTAATGCAATTTAAAATTAAAACTTACGATTAGATATTTGGATATATAAGTTATAAAAAAAAAATTGATGGACACGAAATTTGGAATGCTTCGGTAAATTATTATTTTTTGAGGCATCAATAAAAAATTTCCAGCATCGTACATCGTGTATTACGAACGTGATTAACACATTTAAATGTTATCTATCCAGATACAACTGTCATTAATAAAATTATAGTAATCTCAATCTCACTATTTATTAGGATGATTCACATAAAATTTGAACGATAAGCATTACAAATTACATGACATTTGTAGAATTGTTGCCATGTTGAAAGTTTTATTTTATCCATCTTCATCAAATAATAATTGACTGAAGCAAAAATTTTGTATTCACAGATGTGCAACTTTCTTGGATTTGTGATTTATTTATATTTTTAAATATAAATAATAAATAATTCTCTGATGTGAATTATATGAATCTTTTTTTCTAAATTTCTAGAACTTACTTGAACAAATCTATGTTCTTCTTGTTGAATGATTCTATCAAATCGGTGTAAATTTCATCAGCTATCAGTTGAAGTGCCTGCCTGGTAACGTCAACGACATCGTGTCGATAAAGGGTGCTGTTTCGTTTCAAATCTCTCGCTTGTAGCAACATGTACCAGTAGTGGATAAATGCATCTTTGTTATACCATCTCTAATAACAGCAATACATTAATACGAAATAAATAATTGAATTGAAGAAGCGTTTCTTTTAACATGAAAATTAACTTGATCTTATATCAATGTTCTCAATTTTTGAACTTTTAAAATATTATTGTATCCTATAATCGATTGAATACCAGTGAAATGATTCATAAAAATCAACTCAATATTTATTCTGAGAATAAAGTTACTTAATTAATATTCTTATT